GATCCCAGGGCACAGCTTGGCCAGCGCTTCCCATCTCAAAACCTGTTTCCACGGAACTCCTCATGGGCACTAGAGGGCACTGGGATCCCATCCTGGGAGCAGGATTAGGCCTGGGGATGGTGGGGGACAAGGTGCTGGGGTGGGGAAGCAACTGCCAGGCTGTGGGCACTGCAAGGACAAGGAGAAGGACACCAACTACCCAGGCAGAGCTGGCCCAGACAAGAAGGGCCGTATCTTACACACGTACATAAATACAGTTCTTGGGGGATGTTGTGGGGAGGGGGTTCTGCCACTCTCCAGAGGGTCCCACGCTGGTCATGTCCTTGGGGTCCTTCATGAACCACTCTTGGAGCCCCCCAGGAGGGAGGCAGGGTGGTTACCCCCATGATGGAGGGGTTGGTGGGCATCCTTCACACCAGCAGCCGGGGCAGAGGGGTGTTTGGGGTGCGGCGTCTGTGGGTTCTGATGCCTCCTGCCCCGCTGTGGGTGTGCCCATCCTGCCCTGTGGCACTTCTGCAGGCCCAGCCCCTCAGAGCACCTCTATGTCCCAGATCTGCGTGGGTCTCTCCTCGGCCATGTCCCAAACGATGGCGTGGTCCCGGTCGTAGGTTCGGCCGCCTGTGGAGCGAGGGGGACATTTCAGGAGGGCAAACCACACTCCTGACGGTGGTGAAGGGATGGGTGCTCCATCCTGGGCATCCCTGTGAAAGAGCCCTTCCGTGCCAGCACCGAGGCCTCACCCTTTACGTCGAGGATCATGTCCTCGAACATCTGGCTGTGGATCCGTCCCTGGGAATCCACGCTCCAGGTCTGACGTGGCATCCGGGTCTCGGACCACAGCACGGCCTTGGCGCCCCTCCCAGCTGGCCCGATGACCTGCAGGCTCATGTTGGGGGCCACCTGAAAAGGGTGGTGGTGGCCAGGTCAGCCCATTCCCTCCTTCACCTCCACCAGCAAAAAGGAGCAGAGCCCCCAGAGGGTTTTCCCTGCAAATGCTGCTGGTTCTGGGGTGGGATGTGGGATGAGCAGGAAAACCCCTCAGTGAGAAGCAGGGATGGTAAGGATGACAAAACCTCTGCAGGGAAGGCAGAGACACCTTCACGTCTCCAGAGGAGACTTAGGGAGGAGAATCACCCCATCTTTGGGGGCAAGGTTGAGGTCAGACACTTGGAAAAGCTGCTGTAAACCCTAAAAGATGGCTGCGGGGTGGGGAGTCCTACCAGGGTCTTCCCCGGTCCCCTCTGCAGCTCTGGCTGTCACACCTGACCTGGTTTTTGATCAGCCCATCCTCGTAGTACCAGACAGAGCTGCTCTGCTCCCTCAGGCTGGAGACCACCACCCGCCCCGCCTTCATGTCCTCCACGTCGTCAGGGACCGCGAGGTAGAGCTCCAGCTCCTTGCTCCTGATGCGGAAATAGATCCGTCTCTGCAAAGAGAGAAACCTTTCTTTTTGCACCCAAAAACCCTCGCTGCCTGCACCTTTGGGTCCTCACCTGGCTGGGGCCTTGGGAAAGGGAGGATCCTGGACTCCACTGCCCTTCCCCCAGGAGATCCTCACCCCTCCCCAGGGCGATGGCTGTGACCGTGACCTGTCCCTCGTAGCTGGTGCAGGCAGGGCTCACCACACTGGGATGCCACGGATTTTACAAGGCAGTTGCCCACAGGGAGTGTTTCGCCACCGAGGCAGCCACTCCCAGGGAGGGGGGGGTCAAGGATCTGAGACTCCACGTGAGCCACCTGCCCTGGGGTTTTGGGGTTCACCCCGCCAGGTGCCACCCCCCCCAAAGGTGACACTCACCTGGCGGATGGGGTAGAGGGACCCCACGTGCTGCAGCCCGCTGTAGGTCAGCCAGTTGGTGATCTCGGTGCAGTCCAGCAGCCACTGCCGCCCTCGGAAGTCACCGTGCTCACACAGCACCCAGCTGTGGGGACAGGATGGGACAGGACAGGTCACCCTGGGTGGGCAGGGCACGCCCACTGGGTGCTGGGGGAGCGGGGCCAGGGGCTGGGGCTCACTTACATGCCACCTTTGACGCGCACGGACAGCACGTGGTTGTTGAAACCCTCCGCCTGCAGACTCCGCACTTCGGAGTTGAGCTCGATCTCCTTCCCCTCGAAACACTCCAGCCCGTGCAGGAAGATGGAGGGCTCCGAGAAAAACTGTGGGAGATGGGGTGGGAAGGGGGAAGGTGGGAGGAGTGAGCACCCCATGGGGGCAGAAGGGATGGAGAGTCAGAACAGGGGATGCCTGTGGGAGGGGAAAAAAGTCCTAGGGGGTTATGCTATGGGGAAGGGAAAGGAAAAAGGGAAAGGGGAAAGGGAAGGACTGTACTCACCAGTGGAACCTTCCTCAAGGAGCGGATGGTGGTGGAGCAGAGGCAGCCCATGGCACTGAGCGTGGGGTACTCACCCTCGGACAGCACGTGCTGCTCCCCCGCGAAGTCCTGCCCGTCAAACAGGATCCAGCTGGCAGGGAAGAGTGTGCCCAGGCTGACACGGCCATTGGGGTGGGCATCCATCCCTCCTGTGACCCCCTCAGCACCCCCATCCCACCCACGCTCTGGGGGACCCCCATGGGGCTGCTGGCTGGGGTGATATCCCTGTTCCCATCCCAGTGGCAGCAGCGAGGACACCCCACCTGCCCCCACGGACTCTGCAGGAGCGTGGGATGAAGGCGTCGGGCAGGGCCCCCTGGTCCTCCTCGAAGGCAACATGATCCCCCGAGAAGTCAGGCTCCGAGAAGAGCAGGATCTGGGAAGGGGGAGCAGAGGGGCTTGTTAAAGGGGCGCAAAACATCCCCACCACCCCACAAGGGACCACATCCCCCGGGGGGGGGACCACATCCCCCTCCCCATCCGCCACTCCTGACCTTGGAGACGAAATGGAGGTTGTGTTCCCTGACCTGGAAGGAGACAGAGAGCGGGGCTGGTGGGTGTCTGGCCTTGGCCCCCACGCCAGCCCCGCACATGGCAGCAGCAGGGGGTGCATGGTGGGTGGGGGTGTCCCCCTCCCAGCGCTCTCACCTGCAGGATGGGCTGTGCCGAGGCGATGTGGCAGTCGGTGGCCCCCCAGTCCTCGCAGTTGCGGTACACCCCCTTCTCCAGGACGTACTGCTCGCCCGAGTAGTTGGTGCCCCCGTAGGCCACCCACCTGATGGGAAAAGGTGGGTGCTGGCTCATCCCCACCCTCCCCCGTCCCCCCAGCCCCTCTCTGCCCCGGCCCTGCACTCACACGCCGCTCAGCACGTGGATGGACTGGGTGACGGTGCCGTAGCCGGCCAGCTGCGTGTCGGGGAGCGCCTCGCTCAGCTCCACGCTCGGGCCCTCCTCAAAGTCCATGGCCTCGAACAGGACCAGTGCTGGGTCAGAGAAGTCCTGCAGGGAGAAGAAGACCCCACCCCAGCCCCTCGGTCTGTCAGGGGAAGGGGCTGTGGGCCAGGCACACACACAGACGGGGTCCTGCCTGGCCTCAGGGACTCCAGGGGGAGTGGGAGCAGCTCCCAAGCCTCTGAGTTTGTGGGATCTCAGGCCATGCCCAGCTGCCTGATGCAGGTAGAGAAGGCTCCCTTTTGGGGCATGAGGATGGGATGGGGGTGCCTGGCTCTCCCTGCCCACATTGGGTCCTTCCCAAGCCATGCCACCATCCCTGCCCTCACCGTCCGTATCAGCCGAAGGGACATCAGCTCCTTGCTGTAGCCACCCCACTGCCTCCAGTCCTGGTATTCCCCTTCCTCCAGCAGGTACTGGTGTCCACGGAAGCCTTCCTTCTCGTAGCCAACCCAGCTGTGGCACAGGCAGGCACAGGCAGTGAGGTTTGCAGAGGATTTCCAATTTCCCAAATGACCCTTGGCCATACCACATCCCTGGGCAGCTCCTCCAAGCCCTTTCCCAGGGATGGCCGTCACCTTCCCAGCCTGCTCCAGCCAGGATGCCAGTCCTGCCCAGCTTGTGCCACTCACCAGCCACCCAGGACACGCAGGGAGCCCACGGTGGGCAGTGCTGGCTCAGCAAGGCTCTTCAGGTCGTAGATGTCTCGGCTGATGGTGAAGCTGCGGCCCTGGAACCCCGCAGACTCATAGATCAGCACCTGGGGACACAGTGAGGTGAGAATGGTCCCATGGATGTCCCAGCCCTCACTGGGCTCTCCAGGCACTGGTCCAGCACTCACCTGTGGCTCTCCAGGTCTCTCCACGACAGGGCAGCCCTGGAAGGAGAAGGAGACCCAGTGAGGCTTCAGTGGCAGGAGGGGACATTGCAGGGACATCTGCTTCCCCCCATTAAAGCTTGGGCTGGTTTTTGGGCCATTTTCATTCAAGAAGCTCTTTTGGAGCTTTCCTTCACCCCCAGTGCTCAGGAGTGCTTTCCAGAGCCACACTTGGCACATTTCCTCACCGAGCTCTCACCGATGTGAATTGGGAATTGCCAGGACATGCTCTCACCTGTCATGCCCAGGGCTGGGCACAGCCCTGGCACCCAAAGAACCACAGGCCAGCAACCAGCACTCACCAGCCTGATGGGGTGCATGGAGCAGATGGATGGGTCCTTTGCTCCCCAAGCCTTTAAATTGGGGTACCCGCCCGGCTCCAGAACGTAGGGGTCATCGTCGAAGAACGGCTTGGAGTAAACCAGCCACCTGGGGAAGAGGGGGAAGGCGTCACACCCCTCTCTCCCAGCCCCCAGCTGGGCACCCTCCCGGCCCCACAGCCCCACTCACAGCCCCGAGTGGACGATGATGGAGGCGGCAGCAAGCGCCTGTCCCTGCACGCGGGTGTCCTCGGCCGAGTCGGTGAACTTCAGCCGGGCGCCCTCGCCGTTCTCCTCCGCGAACAGGCTGATCTCGGGGGTGCGGTAATCCTGGGGGCAGAGGGGCGTTATGGGGTCCCACCATACCTCCCTTTTGGGGCTCTGTGGGGTGTCCCTGCACTCACCCTCACCACCCTCTTGAAGGAGCCGATGCGGAAGGGGCGGCTGCCGCGGGGCTGCCCGTTGTCCCCGTAGGCCGTCCAGGGGTTGTTGATCTCCACGTCCCCCTCGGCCAGCACGCACTTGCGCCCGTGGAATCGTGGCTTCTCGTACATCACCCACCTGGGAGCGGCGTGGGAGGGGGAATCCTGCTTTACCCACAGCCCTGTGGCCACCAGGAGGGAGCCTCGGGGCAGAGTGTGGGTGGGGACGTCCTGCCACCGCCGCGGTGCTGGATCTAATTAGCACCGGCAGGACGGTCACTCCTGAACACCAGGCTGGGACCTGGCCGACATCCCCGGCACAGGGAATGCACAACAAACCCCAGCCCAACCCTCCCTCTGTGCCCTCTCCACGTGTCCCTGCCGTGCTGCTGTCCCCTACCCGCCTCGGATGACACGGATGGAGATGGTGTGTGAGAGCTCCCAGGACGTGGCATCGGGGACGTCGCCCCAGATCTCCCGTTTCTGTCCCGCGAAGCCGGCATCGGAGTAGAGGATGATCTGGGAAGGGGTGACACAGAGGACAAGTGCCATGCCATGCCCTGTTCAGCCAGCCCAGCCCGGCCCCACCACCTTCCCTGTACCTTGCCAGGTCTTGTGTTGATCTTCTCAAAGCCCTCCTTGTCCTCCTGCTGTGAAGACCCGAGGGGAGGGGAGTGTGAGGAGCAGAGAGAAACATCGGCTGCACCAGCCATCTCCCTGCAGCCCGGGGAAGCCGCAACCTCGCGTCTGGCGTCTGCCAGACCCTCCCACCGCCCCGAGCAGCCACACCTCGAGCATTCCTGCACTGCTGGGGATCAGCCTCCTGCCTGACCTGGACCCTCCTGTCACCCTCCCAGCATCGATGGTGGCACCCTCCCATCACTTGACCTCACAGCCTCCTGTCATCCCTGATGGTATCCTCCTTTCCCCCATCCTGGTATCCTCCCATTACCCTTCCCAGTGCCTTCCCATCACCTATCCCAACACCAGTACTTTCACCCCATGGCCCCTCTGATGGGAAGCCATATGTTGGGAGCAGGGAAAGGTGTTCCCAGGGTCCAGCCCCCATGACCTTCCCCACGTGCCCAGGAGGGCAGAGCATCCCCCCGCACGCTGTGTTGTGCGATTCACTCACCAGGACATCATCGGGACACAGGGCCATGGTGCCCTCTGGCTCTTCAGTGACAGGAGGGACGGAGCCAGAACTCAGGGCTTCCATCATGGCCATCTCAGGGCTAGAGTGGCCACCATGGGCCAGCCCGTTGTGGTCCCTGAGTGTGGACGAGCCTGTGGCCCCATCCCTGTCAGGCAGCTCGAGCAGGGCAGCGCTGGGGGACTTGAAGCGGCTGTAGAGCACACTGTTGTCCAGGCGTGAGTAGGGCTTGCCCTCATCAGCTCCAGCTGCCCGCTGCTCCAAAAAGTGGGAGAGCAGAGCCATGCCCTTGAGGACACTCCCTCGGAAGAGCACGCTCTGCTCGGCCGAGCCCCCAGGCACCAGTTTGGCTTTCTCATCTGCTCCCAGCGTCCCCAGGAACGAGCCCCCCTCCACCCTGTCCCTGGGCACCCCGTGGAGGGTCCTGGTCGGTGCCCGCTCCTCGGGGGTCAGGTAGGGGTTCTCGATCTCCTCCTCCTCCTCCTCCTCCTCTTTGGGGGTCTCCTCTGGCTGCCCCACCGGGCCCCGCGCCAGCAGCTCCCACAGGGCCTGGGGCAGGGACACGGGAGCTCGGGGGTCCACACGGTCCTCGTGGATGGGGGGCAGAGCTGCACAGCGGCCCAGAGCCGACGGCCGGGGCTGCCGGGGGGCCTTGGGGGACTTCCTCATCTCCGAGGGCTCCATGTTGCGGAGCGTGTCCACGAAGATCTCCATGTCCACCAGCAGTTCGGGGTCCTCCTCAGTCGTGTCCGGGGGGCTCTCAGCTGGGGGGTCAGGGGCTGGGGGCTCGGCGGGGGGTTCTGGGGTGCTCTCAGGTTCTTGGGCTGTGCTCTGGGGGTCTCGCATTGTGTCATCCCCCTCCAGCTCAGTCTCAGCCTTTGTTGGTGCTGGGGTTTTGGATGAAGGCTCTGGACCATCGCTCTCCGAGGAGGAGGGGGTTTTAGGATTGCAGTCAGCTCCCGGGGGGCTCTCTGTCCTCGGTGGCGTGGCTGGAATGGTGTCATCCACGTCTGCCACGCTTCCCTCTCTTGCGCCAGCCGGATCAGTCTGGCCACCGGCGTCAGCCGAGGGACACTGCGGGGAGCTGGTTATACTGGTTTGTGTGTCCCCAGGCCTGTCGCCGTCTCCCGGGGTTGCGTTCACCGGCTTGGCTTCGGCTTGCGGCGAGTCTTTCTCCGCCGGGCATCCCTCAGCCGGCAGCCCGGTGGCCTCTGCGGTGCCCGGCGAGCTCCCGCCGCCCTCTGCAGCCCCAGCGGAGCCACTGCCGTCCTGCCCGGGGCTCTCCCGCTGTGACGGGGCCGTGGTGGCACCGGCAGAGTCGTGTGTCCCGTTTGGGGCTTCCCGTGGCTCAGCCCCGGCTGCGTCCCTGCCCGTCCGCAGCACCGTGACCTGCCTGGCCCTGGGCAGGGCGGGGACGCAGCCGGGCTTGGCCGCGCACGGGGCACCGGGACCGTCCCCGGGTCCCCCCGCGGGTCCCCCCGCGGGGCGGGTGGGCAGCAGGGTGCCGTGCACGTAGCTCTCCCTGTGCACGGGCACGTCGCGGGGGGAGCCCACCGGAGAGGGGGTGCTGTCTCCGCCAGCCCCCGCCTTCCCCCTCTCGTCCTGCCGCCGGGGCTTCTGCGCCGGGGAATACACCTGGGAGAAGATGGGGCCGTGCGCGGTGAAGTCCTTGAGGAGGTTGACAGAGGACGAGTGTTCCCGGTGGGCCACGGTGGCGGGGCTCGACCCCGTCTTCTCCACGATCTCCCTCTCCCAGGCCTGCAGCAGGAGAGACACGCGGGACGGACTCCCCTCCCGGCCACGGGAGCTCCCTGTGCTCTCCAGCCGCCGCGACACCAGCGAGACCTTCTGGAAGCGGGACCTGCCCTCGGGTCCCGGAGCCCCTGCCGCCTGCTTCATGCTCAGCTCCGCGCTGGAGATGAAGCCCCTGCTCTTGGCGTGCCGGAGCGCTGGATCCATAACAGTGGGAATGCCGTGGCCCTGTAACACCCCACACTGCCGGGCTCAGCCCCGGCGGCTGCCACGCTGGGGCTGGTGGAGCTGCAGGGAGAGAAGGAGACCCTGGGAGAGCTGAGCAGGACCACCCCCGCGGGGAACAGCCCTGAGCCCCAAACCAGACCCTCAAACCCCATAGGCCTCCCCTCTGATCCTTTAGGACACTTAGGGAGGGGATCCCGTGAACACATCTGGGGCGTCTTGTGGTGCCCAAGTCACCCATCCTGGCATGTGCAGGGCACCGTGGGTGGCTCTGCCTGCCCGTGCCAGCGCTGCTGTATCCAGCAGGGATGGGGAGAGCTCCTCTCTGTGCCACGGTGGGCTCTGGCAGAGCCTGGCACGGCGCAGGTGAGCGTGCAGGATGCAGCCGGGCCGGGCTGTGCCCCGAGCTGTGCCGTGCCCCAAGCTGAGGGATGAGTCAGGCGGGCAGCAGGGCTGCGCCGAGTCAGCAAATGCAGCAAACAAACAAGCCCAGAAAACAACAGGCAAGCTGCTCCGTGGGGCAAAGGGCCTGGCTGGGATCGAGACCAGGGATGGGGCAGTTGAGGGATTCTCAGGGGGAGGTGGGAACTTGAGCAGCAGCATCCCTTGACCTTTGCCCTGGGGCTGTGTGGCAAAGGTGAGATGGCTCCATCCACCTCTGCAGCCCCATCAGCACGAGGAAACGAGCTGGGATGACCACCCAGCGCTCACTCACTGATCCAGGCTGGTCCCCAGCACTCAGCTCCACGCCCTGGCGTGAGTGCTGCAGGGTGGGCATTGCTGTGGTCCCCGGGGTGCAGGGCAGGGGACAGGGACACATGTGCCACCTCAGCTCAGGAGGATGCTGGTGGAGGCTTTGCTGTGCCGTGGCTGCGTCCCTGACCCAGAAGGATTTCATTGCTGGGTTTGGGATTGGGAAGCAGCTGACACAGCAGGTGCTGGGGAGGGAGCTGGAAGTGCACCCACATCCCAGCATCTCCCAGTTAGGAGCTGTTTGGTGTCACCGCCCAGCTACAGGGACAGTGGTAGGGATGAGGCTTTGGGGTCAGCCCAAGGACAGGCTGTGATTGAGGTCCCCATCTGGGAATGGGGACACCTCCCTGCACAGCCCCAGGGCTGGTTTCCTTGGGGGACACCTCTGGAGAGGGCTTTATCCTGCACCAGCTGGATGGGATCCATCCAATGGTGGCAAGCTGGGCTTTCCCAGTCCCTAAGGGGATTGTGGGGCTGGGAGCAGGCAGGGAAGTGCTGGGTGCAGGCAGCTGCCTGCCCCTTCTGCCAGCCCGCCACGCGCCCTCCAGATCCTGCTCTCCCCGGCCTGGCAGGTCTTTCCAGTACAGATAGGAAGAGTTTGTGTCATTTTTCCGGAAGGTGATGAGACCTTGTCTGGGACAGCCAGCACTGCTCGAGGCTGGGACCAGCCTGGGTGGGGCCGCACATCTGTGTGGGCAAAGCCACAGCTGGATCCCCAGGGCCACAGCTGGATCCTCAGGGCCACAGGATCCCCAAGGTCATGGCATTCACCAGAGGAAGAGGGATTGTGTGCACTGGCAGTGGAGAGGAACAGCTGCCATGCCCGTGGCCCCAGGATGGCACCGGGACAGGGACGCCGTCTCCGTGCAGCACCAGGGTGCTGGGGGAAGGCAGGAGCTGCTGACTCAGCATCCTGCCTCTCACCTGGAGCTGGATTTCCAAAGATTTACAGGTCTGTCTTTCCCAAGAACTCCAGGTCTGTCTTTCCCATCCCACCCCTGCAGCTGGATCCAGCACCTGGTGCCACCCTGGGCCACTCGATGCCCCACGGGCCCTGGGAAATGAGGTCACCCAGAGCCCTGCTCTGCCCCAGCACCCCATCTTCTGCTGAAATGATTCCTACTGCAGTGATGGGTCAAGGACACAGGGACATGAGGACAAGCCCCTGCAGTTTCCCGGCTGCTCCTGCCGGCCATCCCTGCCTGCCTGGACATGCCACGCTGGATCCAGTGGTGTTGCCACACCGGGGCACCAGGCATGGATAATTAATCTCCCCTGGCCAAGCCAAGCCAAGCCAACCCACTGAGCTCGTCTGCTGCCTCCTGCCATCCCAAAGGGTCTCCCAGCACCCAAGTCGAAGGCACGAGGTGCCGTTTAATGTTCAGAAGAGACGGAGGGGGCTGAGGGCGGCAGCTGCGGCTGCCTTTGAGCCGGTGACCACGGATTAAGCCGAGCCTCCGGCCACGTTGGGCTGAGCCCTGTCACCGCGGGGTGAGAGCGGACCTGCCACCTTCAGGAGAATCAGGGATATGAGTTGGGTGGCTGCTGAAAGGGTTGAGGTTCACGGGGAGGGCAGGGAACCACCGTCTCCCCTCGCTGCCCCTGCCTCCCCCCGCTGAGCCGTGTCACGGGCAGCCACATGCTACACGGAGGAGGGGGACAGGGGTGACAAGAGAGCCCCGCCGTCCCCTCAGCCCAGGTCGTGAGGTCACCAGAGATGTAGGAGCCCTAGCTCACTCTGTTGCGTCTTGGAACGCACTCGGGTGGCAGGAGCAGGATTACACCCCCCGCAGCCCCCCAGATTCGGGGACTAAAGGTGAGAGGAGCCGACCTGGGCTCATCTCCCACCTGCCGGCCCCATCCCTCCTCCCTGGCCAGTGCTGATCCCGGCAGGGGAGGAGGGACCCATCCCAGCGCCTGCCAAGCCGGGGCACGGGTCCAAGCACCGGGGCAGCCCCTGCGGTTGGCAGCGGGACGGCAGCACCGGTGCTCTCCTCTCCCAGCGCCGCGGAACCCCCCTCCCTGCCAGCACCCATGCAAATGGGGCCAGCCCAGGCAGCGCCTTTGCCCGGGGGCCCCCCACCCTGCACCCCCCTGTACCTGCCGGCCGAGGGTCCCGCCGTGGCAAGCGGGGTGCTGTGCCGTGCCGTGCCGTGCCGTGCCGTGCCGTGCCGTGCCGTGCCGTGCCGAGCGGGCTCGGGGTGCTGCTCCCTGCACACCACACAGCTGGGCGGACCGGCAGAGTCACCCTGAGCACCCAGCCCTGAGCACCCAGCCCTGGCGCAGCGGAGGTTTGGCATTCCTCAGGTGCTGACAGCCGGGGAGCCGGTCAGGCTGGTTCCCAGCACCCAGCTCCTCTGTTTCCTCCGACTCAGCAGCGCCGGGAGGGAGCGCAGCCAGCCTGGGTGGCTCTGGGCCCCCCGGACCCCTGTCCCGCCACCCACCCCGCGAGGGCGATGGTCCCTCAGAGGGGACCTCAGTGACCAGCTTTGTCACTGCATCTCCAGCCATCACGGTGGCCCCACCATCGCTCCGGCTACGGGGCTGGCAGTGTCCCCACACACTGCGGTGAGGGGCTGGGGCTCCCCAGGGCTGTGATTGCACCCGGATTAATCGTGGGGGGTCCCAAATGGAGCCCCTCAGCACCGCAGGACATTCCTGGGAGGCTCCTAACACGGGGAGATCTCTCAGGCCTCAGAGAGCTGGGTCTGTCGAGGGGCTACACACTGGCTTGGGGGTGGCATGGAGGTCACAGTAGCCCTGGGCCACCACAGGAGACCTGACCCCGGGGCGCAGAGCCCTGTCCCGGCAGGGCTCGGAGCGCAGCAGAGCCGACACCCGCCCTGCATCCTCACCCTGCCCTCCCGCTCCTCCCCAGCCCCGCGGGAGCCCGTTGCGGTGCCAGCCTCACCCCGGGGCCACCACTCCCGGCTGCTGGCCCAGCCCAGGAGCCTCCCTGGCCACCGCCAGCCCGGCGCAGGCGGCCACAGTTCAGCTCCGGTTGGGTCGCCCGGGGCCACCCAGCTCTGGGTGCCACCAACTCACGTGCTGGGGGAGCTGAGGCAGAGCCGAGCTTGCTCTGCCGAGTTTTGGCAGAGCCCTGGGACCCTTCCAGTGCCTTCGCGGGGACCCCAAGAGTGGCTGAGCAGCCGTGAGGGGACTGGCTGCCCATCCCCGTGGCTCCAGCACAGGAGCAGGATCTGGGCCCAGCATCCCTCCCGTGGGTCCTCCCCCTGTGGGCTCCCGTGAGGAGCAGCAATGGGGGGGTCCCGGCAGCCCCAGGACCACACTGTGTCAGTGCGTTTGTTACCGTGTGTGCATGCATGTGTTTAGCATGTAGAAGCATGTGCAAGCGTGTGTACGTGCCAAACCAGCCGAGCCAGCCGGCTGCGGCTCTGCGGGGAGCGGGATCTCCCTTCCACGTCCCTTTGCACCGCCGGGGAGGGTTTAGTCAGCGCTGGGGAGGGTCCTGCCCGCAGCAAACCAGTTCCCCGGGCACTGGGGCAACTGGAGGGACACTGGGGCGAGCCTGGGCTTTGAGTCACTGTGTGCAAAGGGAGGGACACGGTACGGGGCACGCTGAAGTGGGGGGGGGACGGGCAGGCTCAGCCTCAGCGCCCAGAGCAGGGAAAACAGGGCCAGGGGGAGCCCCAGAGCACCCCGAGTCCTCCCGGGGGTTGTAGGGGCGTCCTGCTGTCACCCTCCCTCCAGGCAGGGGGAAATGAGAAGGTAGCAGAGGGAAGGGGAAGGGGAAAGGGAAGGAGAAGGAGAAGAAGGAGGAGGAGGAAAAGTAAAAGGAACCCTCCACGGTCTGTGTCGCCTGCACCCTCCCCTGGGTGAACTTGGTACCTGTACCCCATTCCCAGGGGAGAAGCACCCCGAGAGTGCAGCTCTGGCCACATCTGCAATGAGTTTCCAGGTGTCAGCTCTGGGGAGGGGGCTGAGCCAGGACACGGCTGCTGCTGTTTAACAGGTGATGACTGTGGATGTACCAGCCAGCTCGGCTGCACTGGGATCACCCTGCCCAGGGCTTGATGTGTCCCAAGCACCCCGAGAAGGAGGAAAACCAGCGGTGAGAGGAGGAGGATGCAGGACAGGCCAGTGCTTTGGGAGGTAGGAACCAGCCACGGGAGGAGAGGCTCCTGCTGTGCCTCCCCCTCCCCAGATCCCCCACTGAAAAGCAATTTTCTCCCCCACTGCCTGGTTTGCTGTCAGGGGGAGGCTTGAAC